GGGATTCTTGCACATCATGCCGCGAATAAGGTGGGCTGCAGGAGCAGAAACATGGCCGGGAATGACGTAGAAACCTTCAGCTATGGCTTCAAAAATTTGAAGCACATTTGGACTACTGAAGGGCACGCGGCCGGTGAGCATGAAGAAAAGGGAGACGCCAGCACTGTAGACGTCCAATTTAGGACCATGGAAGGAGGTTTGCGCACCTTTAGCCACTTCTGGAGGCTGTACAGCCGGAGTGATTTGTCCAGCTCCGACCTAGACAACAAAGTCAGAATTTCCGCCACAGAGCGATTTAGTGAGATCAAACTCGAGTAGTGAGAATGCGTCGGGAAGGGAAATGCACGGAATTGACAAGGAAACAGAGAAAATACCTCATCACTAGATGCGAAAGCAGGTATGGAGACGGAGACACCGAAGTCAGCCAACTTAATGAGGTAGCCTCGAGAGAGGCGTAACACCTCCTCACCCGTGAATGGTACCAGACCCGGTTGGTAGGTGTCGCCACCCCCACGGTACTCGTGAGACAGGGAGGAGGGCAGAATCAGTCCCGAACCCGGTGCTGGAGTGATCAGCAAATTGGCTGGTTTGATGTCCCGGTGGATGATGCCGTTAGCATGCAGGTAGGCCAGTCCGTCTATCACCTGGCATCAGAATAACTAGTCAATTCACTTCATTTGAGTGCTGACCTTAATCTCTGAAGCGAAGCATTGACAACTCACTTGAATGAAGTAGGCATGTGCCTGAGCCTCTGGAAGCCTTCGAAACTGTTGGTAGCCCATTTCAGTTATATCTACACCTCCTCCTCCACCACCACCACCCGCAAGCAACACGGGATGTGGGCTGTTAAAAGCAGACTGCTTCCTCAGTAGCATGACAGCCTGGTCTTCTGACTCCCCATCATCCACCTCACCATCAATGACGGGAAGCGTGGCAATCCGATGGAATCCCTCACCAGAATCCATTTTGGCTGCCGACCCAACCGCTGCGACTGCTGGAGGAGCAACCGACGTAACAGAATGCACACCAGAAGCTTGGAGATCGTGAACAGAACCAAGACAATATTCCATCACCAGTGCAACTCGATCAGGATCAGTGAGACGCAAAACAGTCGCCACAGAAACGATATGTCGGTGAGGCATAAGGAAACGGAGGAGACAAGCTTCGGTGAGAGCCTGGGACCAGCCACCAGGAATTTTTCGAACACCCAATCTAGAGACAATCTTGACGGCGCAGCGACGGAGGGTTAGCAGATCCAAGCAATCCTTCACCTAAGTTCAAATGAAGAGCAGAAATAACAGTTTCCAACTTCAATTTCGCTTCCCCCCCCTCCTCCCTCTGGCACAGCTGGAACAGTAGAGCTCAGAGAAGAGAAACAATCAACTAGAACGGTTTGTTGTGTCCAAACCGATGACGCTGTACGCAATTAGAAAACAGTCCTCCCTCTCTCATCACACAAATTTCACAACAACTTCATTTCCTGAAAGAGTCTTGGCACTTAAACTGGAAGGATAGCCTCAGAATAGAGAAGGTTGCACTGCATTTGGCTCTCATCTAGGCAAAGTAAACATTCCCAACTTTTACATACTTGTAATACCTAATACAAGCATATGAGAGGTGAATCGAGGCAAGAGATGCGGTCACACCTTGCCATAACTTCCACGTCCAATGGTGCCGCCGAGAAGATATCGACCAGCAAGAATTTTTGGAGGTTTTCTGTACATCTGATGGACTCCGCCCCGACGACTGAGGGAGAAGCCGGAGGAGAAGACCGCACCTCCCATGCTGCTGCTGTTGCCCAATCCGCTTGCGCTCTAAGTAGGGTGGAGGGACAAAAGTTTACAAAAACAATTTGGCATTGTGAATTGCATTCATTAAGCGATTGCACAAAGTGGCAGATCGTCGGCCCAACTACCGATTAGCTCAGGACCCGATTGTTAATGTTCAGTGTGTTATGGCACTGTGAGCAATAATAGACGCCAAGCATGTCTTGCCAAGCCTCTCAATGCATCTGGTTGGTACGCTTTTAGAGCCACAAATAATTACACTCGTGTGCAATGCGACAATAACGCCTGTCAACGAATGTATCGAGCCGTAATCCGTGCATATCGGCAGAACTTTAGAGAAAACGTAGAACCCACCACGACACTAGCCACTTTAACAAAGAGACACTGTGTCGTATGAGCATTTGGTTGGGTCCAGAAACTCCCACCTGACCTTGGACAGTAAGGACTTCTGACGCTACC